AAAGAGAGAGAGCAGGGAGGGTCAGAGAGAGAGACAGAATCCGAAGCAGGCTCCAGGCTCTGAGGTGTCAGTGCAGAACCCAATGCAGGGCTCAAACTCACGAAACATGAGGTCATGACCTTGAGTTGAAGTCAAATACTTAACCGACTGAGCCACCCAGGTGCCATGGGATAACTACATTTATATCCACAATTCCAGCACAAATCTGAACCTATCCTGATAGAGTCCAAGGAAAGAGTTCTTAACAGTCCTGTCCTATGGAAGGGGAAGTCTTGTTTCTCCCATGTCGGGGTGGAGTGACAGGAAAAAGTTTAAATGCAACCCAACGGCAACCGCTCACATGAGAAGCCATGCAAGAGTAAAATTTGTCCCTAGGTGGATAGAGCCAGCTGGCTACTGCTGAGGAGTGGTGAACAGAGGTCAGAAGGTAGTATGGCTACATGCATGGCTGTGTTTGGCGGGAGGAGGGAGGCAAGGTTGTAACTAGCCTATCCCAAACCAGGTCTGAGCAGTGCAAAAGTATTCTATGCTACCCCTGGTTCTGCCCCCCAAAACATCTCTAGTCACGCTGTCTGGAAAATTTGTCCCTCAGTATTCTTCTCAGGCAGTAAGGGGCCAGCTGCCTAATCTTGAGATAACATGATGCAGTGTGCTTTGATGTATAATACCTGTGGCAAACTCAAATTTCCCTCACCTCACTGACGGGACAATGACGAGAGGTAGGCTTCCTTGCTTGTTTTAACGAACTCTTCCAGCAGGGGGCAGCACTAACTTGAGTATTGTGGCTGGAAACTAAAAACACTTCCTATAGAGAATCTAAGAATAAGGAACAAATGACAACTCAAGGATCTTCCTTTATTTTTATTTTTTTAGTTTTTAAAAATGTTTTATTACTTATTTTTGAGAGAGAGACAGAGTGTAAGTAGGGGAGGGGCGGAGAGAGAAGGAGACAGAATCCAAAGCAGGCTCCAGGCTCTGAGCTGTCAGCACAGAGCCTGATGTGGGGCTCGAAGTCCCCACCTGTGAGATGATGAGCTGAACCAACTGAAGCCACCCAGGTGCCCCAGAAGGTCTTCCTTTAAAAACCAGCTACCTGTGTTATGGCCTCTGAACCGCTGGAGGGAGGAAGGAAGGATTCGCTTCCACTTTTGAAAGAGGTCCCCTCTCTCTCCCTGCAGGATACATTCAAGTCATATCTCTGGAACGTGTACATTCAAGAAAACCTAATCTTCAGGGGTTATACTTTCCCCCAATCAATCTGCAGTTTCCTCTACTTCTCATATTCATTTAACCTGCTGCAGATGAGGACGAAGGTTTGTTTTAGTTACTTTCAGAAAATGAGGTGTCTACTGCCTGTCCCTGGGGTGCTGGCTCTTCTATGCAGGAATACTTGTCCCATAGCACGGGGCCCCTGTCCTCTGCTTAGGAGGGCAGGGAGAGTTGGCTCTGCTAAATTCTGAACCTCATTATGAGGAGGACAGGTTTGTGCTTTTGGCAACAAAAGCTGAATATACAAGACAAGAATCATGTGCAGGCTCAATCCCTAAATGTATGTTACCTCCACTAGGTCAGCTCCTGGAAGGCAGTGCTTTCTTGTGCCCACTGCTCTGTCTCTGGTGCCTGAGCGGGCCTGCACACAGGCACACAGTAGGCATTCAATAAATAGCCCTTCTGGGGTGCCTGGGTGGCTCAGTTGGTTAAGCATCTGACTTCAGCTCAGGTTATGATTTCGCTGTCTGTGGGTTCGAGCCCCGCATCAGGCTCTGTGTTGACAGCTCAGAGCCTGGAGCCTGCTTCGGATTCTGTGTCTCCCTCTCTCTTTCCCTTCCCCACTCATGCTGTCTCTCTCTTTCAAAATTAAACATTAAAAATTTGTTTAAAAATAGCCCTTGCATAAACGACAAAATGCTACCAATCTTCTTTCACTTGCAAGTTTTCACCCCCCACCCCACCTCCCTAATTCTAAGCAACCCATCAGACATCTGAATGACTTCTTCGCTCTAGTTACTTCACCAGATTCGCTTTAACACTTGTCACTGTCTTATTCTAATACCTCCATCCAACTTCCTAGTTGCCTATGGCTCAGAATCGAAATAACGTAGACCTCTCTTCCATCCAGTGTAGTATGAAGAGCATGAGCTGTGGACCTGGTCAGAGAGAAGCTGGAACCCCAATTCCACCATCTGCATCCACCACAAACATAAGTAGAACGGGAGTAAGAATATCTACCTTCTAGGTTATCGGGGCCATAAATAAAATTGTAGTAAAGCTCCAGATGTACAAAAGGCACTCAATCAATGGCTTTTTACCCCAATAGTCTAATCTTATGCTCTCTAATTTTACCTTGGGCTACCCACACCACATCCATTCCAGACACCACCCCCGCAGCCTACCTACCCTTCACACTCTCCCACGGTTCCTGCCTGCCTCTCATTCCACTTTCTTGCACTTCATCATGCCTCCTTGGATTTTTTCATCACGTGGTGGTCTTGAAATTCTTTTGTGTTGCTTGGAAGTTCTAGCACCATGCGGGGTATAGATAAGGGGCTTAGCAAAAGCTTGTTAAATCAATGCGGGTGGATTTAGCTGGAAAAGACCACATGTGGGTCTATTCATGAACCCTGCCCCTCCCAAAATACTGGTTTTCAGACCATGGCATCCTTTGGTTGGCTAGATGCTCTTGGGCCCTTCCTTGAGTCGTTTCCACAGTGAATGTCTCACGAAAGGATGGTGCAGAAAGCCAGCCTCCATTGCGACTTCGCCTCACTTCCTGGGAGTTGGAGGGATGCCCACAGCTGTGCCAACAGTAGTATGGAGGCTGGAAAATCACTGGCAGTCAAGGTCCCCACTCCGCTCCTGTTCCCTGGGAACATTCCCCAAGGTTCCGGTTTTAGCCTTTCTCGCTGTTTACTCTGTGCAACTCCTGACCCGGCATTCCCTTCGGACCACTCTTCTGGGTCACCCAGACCAGAAACCTCCAGGACACGCCTCTCCGCCTTCCACCTCACCACGTGCCTTCAAGCCTCCTTTCCCAGTAGAGTCCTACGGCTGTCTCCACTGCCCCTGACTCGGCCTCTTCATTCATGTACGGAAAACCCAACAGCTGTGACACTCCCCCAGCTAAACTGCTCTTGGCCCCTGTACCTCAGGCTGTTCACGACCCAGGAAGGCCCTTCCCAGGTTCAAGTCCTACCCTGCACAGCATCCTATAAAGTCCCTCCTCCACCCTGAAGACCTCGCAGATTCCCTTAACTCATGGCATCCACACAGCCACCACGCTGGACAACCACAGAAGGACTTTTTTAGGACGTTTCTAGGTGCCCTTTTACTATTCGTAGCCCCTCCCATCTCCAGACCAGGTCAATACCTTGGGAACACATACCACGGCTTGGAAACCCTTCTTGGGGTTCCCTGCTTCACAGCATGTGGCATCTGTTGTAACAGCTGTCACTGGGGATGTCAGCAGGCGGGCAGGCTGGACTCGGATGGTTGCCTAGAGTATCTCTACAAAAGCTTTAAGACTCACTACACTGGGATGTTCAACTGGACCAGGGGAGCCTTATCGCCTTAACTTCCTTGAGGGCACGGATGTCCTAGGTCTTTGCCGCTCTGTAGCACCCAGCTAAAATGATGTTCAAGAGATACCTGGATTTCCTGGGAGGATGCTTTTGTTCAGTGGGAAAGGCGTACAACTCAAATGTGATTTCCTTACTGTCAGAGAAGCCTTTCTCACCCTCTCTTGGACTGTAAGATGTAGGGCCAAGGGGACTGGATCTACCATGTAGACCGGTGGGCAAGACCTCAGGCTGGATGTCAGGAGGGGAGACTAAGATGCTTTTCCTGGAAAGCTAAGGGATCAGGAAGGCCGACTGGTCCCTACACTGACCCTAGGTGTTTCCGTTGTTGTCTTTGCCCTCCACACTCACTTTCCATCTGTAGGAAAAGGGTAGCCTGTATGCCTGGAGCCAACATGCTGCTGTGCCTGGGCCCTTCCACACACCCTCACCAGGCACAGCGATTCCAGCAGCCTTCACAGTCCTCGTGGGGAGAGGGGACTTGAACTTGGATGTAGAAAAGGCCAGACAAAGGACTTGACCACTAAGGCCTGCTGCTCCCGAAATTGTAGATTGTGAGTCCAGAATCATAAGGTCCAAGTCAGCCACTGTCTCTTGGCCAAAGGCCACCCACGCCCAGCATATCCTATAATGAGAAACACCTGCTGCTTCTCAGTAAGCCCTCCACCTGGCATTCAAGGCCCTTAGAAATGTGGCCCTTTTATGGCCATTTATAAACCCCCCTCCCCCTCCATATTGCCTGCTCTGGCTAACGTGGGCAACTTGATGTCTCGTCCTCATATGCCCTGGTTCCCCAAGACCACTTGACCTTGGCAATACCGGGCTCCTGCCTCTCCCCAGCCCACTCCTTTTCAGTACCCAGCTGTAGATCACCTCCACGAAGCCTTCACTTGCATGGACCACTCCCTGATAACCAATCCTATACAGTCTCGTTTATACTCCCTTTCCTTACGGACAAACCTTATGTGTCAGTGAAATCCTCAAGGCAGAGCACCCGTCTCGTGTCCGTGTCCCCCCATGACAGCTCACATGAAGGGATCACAGGACAATATGAGGGGCACATGTCTGTATCAGCCAAGGCTCAAGTTCTTCCCTTTGACTCTTGCAGGGAATAGGCCACAGAACAAAGGTGACCGGGTCACTTGACAGGCTTGGGGGACAAAGCCCAGAAAAGAAATCGCACCCAGCACTGAACAAGAGACGGAGAGCAGCACAACTCAACGCCAGTCCCATCCGTTATTTACCAGTATGCGATTTTAACTTCTCTGAGCCGTACAATGAGGATAACACTTAGCCTACTTACCTTATAGGTTCAGTGTGACAATCAATGAGAGAAGTAGAGGAAAGCGCTCAGAAGCACCGAACAAATAGTAATTGGGGTTAGTGATCCACTTGGAGTTGAAAAGAGCTCAGACAGGGGCCAACTCTTGGCCCTAGGGCGAAGGTGGCTTTTATTTCCTCTCTTGGGGAAGGAGGGGAGGGGAGTTTTTGCACACACACCAACCTAAGAAAGGAGTGGGTGCGCCCCCAGAGGTTGGGACTGGAAGAGCCGGGCCATGATTCAGAAGGGCTCCTCCATGTCCAGTTCCTGGCCCTGGGCTGCAGGGTGTGCTCCTGAAGAGTCACTCCCCTTAGGGTGCATGAATGGAGGCACATGGAGGTATCTGCTGGTGTTCACGAAGAGGAAGGGGGAGCAGGTGCCCTGAGTGAGGGAGCAGAGGCCTGGGCCGGCCGGCCCCAAGCTCAACGCCTGCCCAGGATTAAAACTTGCAAAAGGTCTGGCTGGTGTTACTCTTCCCGAGAAGGGCCAGAGGGGCCCAGAGGCATCGCTCAATTCGATGGCTGGTCCTTTAAATGTCCATCTCAAACTGTGACTCTTCACCTGGGGAGAGAAGGGACAGATGGCCAGGTAAGCAAGGGGTGAATTGTAGGGCTCACATTTTAGAGGCCAGGGAGAGGCGTTGTTTTTCATTTTGTTGTTCCCTACAAGAGTAGGAGAATGGGGGGAGGGCAGGATTCCACTAGGAATTCCTGGACACAGGCCGGAAGGTTCCCTGTCTAGCTGTGCTCCCCTCCCCCATCCCAAAGCAAGAAGGGAGACCACGTAACCCCACAGAAAAAGTGACAGTCCCAAATTTCATACTATTTTTACTGTTTTTAAAAAATATTTTAGGGGCGCCTGGGTGGCTTAGTCGGTTAAGCGTCCGACTTTCGCTTAGGTCATGATCTCGCGGTTCGTGGGTTCGAGCCCCGCGTCGGGCTCTGTGCTGACTGCCAGCTCAGAGCCTGGAGCCTGTTTCAGAGTCTGTGACTCCCTCTCTCTCTGACCCTCCCCTGCTCACGCTGTCTCTCTCTCTCTCCTAGAAATAAATAAAACATTAAAAAAAAAATTAAAAAAAAAAATTTTATTTTAGAGGCACCTAGATGGCTCAGTTGAGTGTCTGACTGTGGCTAAGGTCATGATCTCATGGTTCACAAGTTTGAGACCACATGGGGCTCTCTGCTGTCAGTGCAGAGCCCACTTCAGATCCTCTGCCCCCTGGCCCTTCCCCCACTCACTCACATGCATATAGTGTCTCTCTCTCACTCAAAAATAAACATTTAAAAACGTAAAAATAAAAATTTTATTTATTTATTTTTTTTTTTGCGACAGCATACATGTGCAAATGGGAGGGGCAGAGCATAAGAGACAAGAGAATCTAAGGCAGGCTCCAGGCCCAGTGCAGAACCTGACTTGGGCGTTGATCTCACAACCGTGAGATCATTACTTGAGCCAAAATCAAGATCAGACACTTAACCTGACTGAGCCACCCAGGCACCCCTGATTTTTATTATTATTATTATTTTTTTAATGTTTTATTTATTTTTGAGAGAGAGAGAGCGTAAGCAGGGGAGGGGCAGAGAAAGAGTGAGTCGTGGATCCAAAGTGGGCTCTATGCTGGGGGCAGGGAGCCCAATAATGCAGCTCGAACTCACAAACCCGCGAGATCATGGCCAGACCCGAAGTCAGACAATTAACCAACTGAGCCACCTAGGCACCCCAATTTTTATTGTTTTTAATGAGAGTGAATAGTTACTTGGATTTAATATAAATACAACCTCCCAGGTGCCTGGGGGGCTCAGTTGGTTAAGCATCCGACTCTCGATCTCAGCTGAGGTCACGATCTCACACTTCATGAGTTCAACCCCCGTGTCAGGCTCTGCTTGGAATTCTCTCTCCTCTCTGCTCCTACTCCACTCATGCCCTCTCTCTCTCTCTCTCAAAATCATATAAATAAACTGAAAAAAAATTAAAAAATACAACCTCACAGAACAATACTCCTTAAACATAAAACCTTGTTTGACCATCGGTCTCAACCATGGTGTAGAAAACAGGACTAGGCATCTGTCCAGATGCCCACAGAGTAGCCTGACTCTGCAGCAAAGGAGTTATTTTGGTAATTCAGCTGCTCACTGCCCTCACCCTAACTCTTTCCACAAAAATCTCCAAGTAACTCATGCTGCTGGAAGCTGTTTTTTTTTTGTTTTTTTTTTTTACAAATAGTTTATTGTCAAATTAGTTTCCACATTGGAAGCTGTTTTCTTAAATGGAGCGGCCTCCTTCACGATCTCCTGAGTAAGGCTGCTCTGGGGTTCTAAAGACCGAGATGCCTGCTCTGGCCCCTACGGGAAACCGGCCACTTCTGGTTATATGTACACAAATATACGGTCCAAGGCTGGAGCTCTGGTGAATACCCTGTTCAGCAAAATGAAAAATTCTGTCCATCCCTCACCACCCCGTCCCAATGGAACTCCTAGGCCATTATTGTGGGTTAAGGGTGGTCAGCCCGGATGCCTCTGGGCCAACCCTGCCTGAGCTGTGCAGCTCCAGAAACTGGGAGGGGCTAGGGACAGCCCTGAGGCAGCAATGGCTCAGCAACATCAGGTGTGACCACCTCCAACCTCAACTTCCAGTCTTTGGTTTGAGGTGAAATGGGGTGGCCAGGAAGCACCAGGTCACCAACCGCATGAATCTATCCATCCTTTTCAGCATCCTTCAACAAAAGGTGGGGAACCGCACTGCCAGGTGCTGTGTGTGCCCAACTCCACCTCCCTTCCACTCCTGTCCAAGTTTGAAAGGCAAGGCGAGGCAAGGGTGGCCTGTCGTGGGGTTCCCTGGGTAATTATGAATCACATCCTGCAGGCTCTGGCTAGATGGGCTCTGCTGCTGTCAGCAGGGCCAGCCCAGCCTGAGGCCCCAGCTGCTTCCTATCCGGGCTTGGTGCACTGCCTTCCGGGTGAAGGGTCAGTGGGTGCCAATCAGACTCAGGTCAGCCCAAGTGCTTACACTCTACTCTCCCAGAGGAAGCGCTCAGACACTCTGGCAAGCTAGTCAGGATGCCACGAAGGGTGCACTCACACACCCCTCTACCAGGGTGGCTGCTCTGATTACTTAGGGCAAAGGTGGGGAGACATACCAGGAAGGACCTAGCCGGCCCGTGTCAAACCTGCAGAGACAACTGGTTCATGGTCTCTACCTGTCTGCATCAAGAATCCCCAGTGGACCCATACCCTGACAGAAGGCGTCCTGGACGCCTTTCTGATCCTATAGACGTGTAATTTCTTAGAGGGCAGGTACACCGTATCTTTGAGAAGTCCTCTCCTGCACATGTGTGTTGCAGGTGTGGCCCACATGAGGCAGACAAGTGGAAATGCTTCAATACAATGATTCAAAGGGTCATACTTCTTTTTTTTTTTTTTTTAACATTTTTTATTTATTTCTGAGGGAGAGAGAGAGAGACAGCATGAGAAGGGGAGGATCAGAGAGGGAGGGAGACACAGAATTCTAAACAGGCTCCAGGCTCTGAGCCAGCTGTCAGCACAGAGCCTGATGTGGGGCTCGAACCCATGAACCGTGAGATCATGACCTGAGCCGAAGTCGGCTGCCCAACCGACTGAGACACCCAGGCGCCCCAAAGGGTCATACTTCTTTATGAAAGTTGCTGTGTGGAGCCCCCCTCATTTCAGACAAGCTCTCCATTAATTAGACCACCTGATGGGGCCAAATCCCCTTTCCTGGAGTTATTGGGCTGCTTTCATGTGGAAAGTTGGGACTGGTGACAATTCTGTCCCCAACGTCACCTGTGCACCTTAAGCTGCCCACAGAGGGTCGGGCAGCCGCCATCAATCTCCCCCACCCCCCTCGAAATCTCCTCCCTGAAGGGGAGCCATGGCTGCATAGGTTCCCTTCCCAGGGGAGAGCCTCGCCAAGGCCGGCCACTCACCACCTGCCGGCTTCTCTTCTGGGCTGTTGCGCAGGTGGTTCTGCCTGGTTTCTGTGGGGGTCTCCTCACTGGTCGGGCTGGTGACCCCGGGAATAGTGGGCAGGTCCCGTGGAGGTGTTTTGGTCACAGGCGAGTTCCGACATTCCATCAGGAACTTCCGGTCGTAAATGATCCTGGTACCTGGAAGGAGGCAGGGACATTGGGAAAGCCACCTCAGACCTCCTGCCTGTTCATTTTCCACATCGTTGAGGCATGGCTGCAGCAGAGGCAGCATGTTTTTCTGCAAAAGCAGGATTAAGGAGGAGTGAGACTGGGGCACCTGGTTGGGTCAGTCGGTAGAGCTTGCGACTCTTGATCTTGGGGTCATGAGTATGAGCCCTACCTTGGGGGTAGAGTTTACTTTAAAAAAACATAAAGAGGGGACATTTGGTTGGCTCAGTCAGAGGAGGTCTGACTCTCGGTTTCGGCTCAGGTCATGATCTCATGATCCGTGAGTTCGAGCCCCATATAAGGCTCTCTGCTGTCAGCACAGAGCCCGCTTCTGATCCTCTGTCTCCCTCACTCTCTGCCCCTCCCCCATTAGCGCTCTCTTTCAAAAATAAACATTTGAAACGGGGGGGGGGGGGGGAGGTGTTTGGAAAAGAGGAATGATGCAGATTCAGGCATCTGGCTGCAGCCCCACTCTGCTGCCTCAGAACCACCAATCCCAGAAGTGGGGCGCTCTGATAGCAGAGGGGCCAGGCAGGCCACCACACCCTGCTTTCTCCCCTCAGATCAGCACATCCCGGGCTCTCTCCTTAAAGCCCACCGACTCACTTCCCTAACCAGTGTTATTACTCAGGACAGCCATATCTGCCACAGGAGAAGGTACATTTTTATTTGTTTTTCAATCCAGTCCTCACAGTACCAGAAGTTTTAACTCCATTTTACAGATGAGCCAACAGAAAATCAAGTGACTCCCCCAGACTAGTAAAAATGAGAACACTTCCCCTCCTGGGCTTTGTGGACAGGAGCGCCACACAGGCTCCACCTTTCCCACCAAAGGCTCTCCTGCCGAGCATGTCCCCTGTGACACTTGCTCTGACATATTACCACACCTCAGGGCCCGTACATGGTCTGTGTTCGTACATGGTCTGTGTTCTACGCACTCCCTCCTCACTCTCCTTTCCCAGGCATCCCCCCCAGGGCGAGGACCAACTCTTAGGGACCCACCCTGCCATCCTGTAAGGGCAGCTGCCTGAGTGATACCTTACAAAGGAGAATTTTCTAAAGTCCAGGACCCAGGATTCCTGTGGGAGACTTGCTGATTTCATCAAAGAAAGTGACTAATGAGAGGTGATTCACGTTAGGTTCTTATTTAATCAGGATCACCTCTAAAGCACCCGTACAGTACTAGTAGCTTATCTTAAACGCCTCGCTCACACTCCTGATTCTTCCCTTTCAACAAAGAGCAGGTGTCAGCTGGATTCCTCAGGCAGTGGAATCCAGACAATTTAAAACTGCCTTGGTGTCATTATACTTCTTTTTATAGTTATCTTCTATTTATGGTAAGTGAATCTGGTTTTCCATATATAGTCGTGATATCGTTTCCTTTTAATATATAACAGGATATAACTTAATAGATTATACGTTATAAATAGTGCAAGTAATAAAATAAAATAACAAAAACTAAGTTCAAAAGGTAAGGGATAGGGGCGCCTGGGTGGCTCAGTTGGTAAAGCGCCCGACTTCAGCTCAGGTCATGATCTCATGGTTCATGGGTTCGAGCCCCGCGTCAAGCTCTGTGCTGACAGCTCGCTCACAGCCTGGAGCCTGCTTCAGATTCTGTATCTCCCTCTCTCTCTGACCCTCCCCTGCTCTCTCTCTCTCTCCTAGAAATAAATAAAACATTTAAAAAATTTTTTATTTTTTTTTAATGTTTTATTTATTTCTAGGAGAGAGAGAGAGAGAGAGAGACAGCGTGAGCAGGGGAGGGTCAGAGAAAGAGGGAGTCACAGACTGAAACAGGCTTGAGGCTCTGAGCTGGCAGTCAGCACAGAGCCCGACGCGGGGCTCGAACCCACGAACCGCGAGATCATGACCTAAGCGAAAGTCGGACGCTTAACCGACTAAGCCACCCAGGCGCCCCTAAAAAATTTTTTAAAAAGGTAAGGATATAAAGAGAAATACTAAATATATATACAAATAGAATGCAAGGTGCAACTGTAATGCAAACTGCAGAGGAAATAAGTGGGCAGAGTATAGACGCTATGATTTTTAAAAATATTTTTTTAAATGTTTCTTTATTTTGGGAGAGAGAGAGACTGCAAGCAGGGGAGGGGTAGAGCAAGAAGGAGAGAATCCCAAGCAGGCTCCATACTGTCAGCACAGAGCTCAGTGTGGGGCTCGAGCTCATGAAATGCGAGGTCATGACCTGAGCCAAGGTGGAGCATCAGATGCTTAACCAACTGAGCCAGGTGTTCCTGATTTTTTAAACAAGCTTTAATTCATTTTAATTTTCTTGTAGAAAACCAAGTGGTGGCCACAGCTGGAGACTAGGTCTTCAGCACAGAGACTCTGGTGTGGGTCAGTGGATGCCTGATAGGGAGAATTGGTGAACAATCTCTTTTCAGAGGTCAGGGGTGAGATAGCTGTAGGTCTTGGAAATGGCAGCAGAAGTGGCCGTGGTGAAGCTGCCCAGGGTGGCAGTGCAGCCCCTGGGGGCAGGGATGCGGCGCACCTGGTCACCTTCCATGGGACAGTGTGGGGCTTGCGACCTTATCCGCCCCCCTCCCCTGCCCAGCAGCCTTGCCGCACGGGGGACAATGGAAAGCTTGGCAAGGATGATGGCCCCACGAATGGCAGTGGCCACCTCCTTGGAGCACTTAACATCCACACCAACATGTCCCTTATAATCTCTGATGGCAACAAATGCCTTGAACCTGGTCCACTGGCCAACACAGGTCTGCTTTTACACAGGCATCATCTTTAAAACCTCATCTTAGGGGGACGCCCCCAGGAAAAGTCAATGATTTCAGATTTCTTGAAGGGCAGGGAGAAGAGACAGATCTCCTCCAGGGACTTATCTTCATGCCCTTGACAGGGTGGCCCAGCCTGGTGACGCAGATCCACTCCTTGTCCTCGGCCTTGCCTCCTCGAGCTCTACGGCCCCACCCTGACCACGGCCGTGGCCCCAGCCATGGATGCCGCTGCCGAAGACTCTGTGGAAGCCTTGGCCTCCCTCCCAAGGCCCTCAGAGGCCCTTCTGCAGCACCAAGGTCATCCGCCGTTTGGTATTTTCCTGGAGAAGCTAGAAGCTATGATTTAGATTTCAGGAATGCCTCTCCTTCTCAATAACTCTCAAGTAGTTCCCTCACTTAAAGGCTATGACGAGTGCCATCCCAACAGCAGGGATTCCCGTCTCAGATGCTGGGAGCTGGCTCTCCAGGAGTGGCACCCTGGAGAAGAATCCATTTGCATCTCTGGGCTCTGAGTAGGCCTGCACGGGTTTGGGGTCCTTCTCCTGAGGACCAGGATGCTGAAGAACAGAGAAATGGTCACAGACACCAAAACGTGCCCTTGGCCTACTCATGCGTGCTGTCCTAGTCTGACTCTAGCCCTAAGGTACCCAGAGCTCCGCTCTCCTTGCTTGAGAGGCAGATGCTGAAGTTGACAGTCTTGTTCATTATCACTATGGGGGCTAAAGTTCACAGTTCACATGTCTTTCTTTTTTTTTTTTATTTATTTACTTTGAGAGAGAGCGAGAGAGGGAGCGCAAGCGAGGGAGGGGCAGAGAGAGAGGGAGAGAGAGAATTCCAAGCAGGCTCTGTGCTGACGTGCCCCGATGCAGGGCTCAAACTCATGAACCGTGAGATCATGACCTGAGCCGAAGATGGATGCTTAGCCGATGGAGCCACCCAGGTGCCCCCACAGTTCACATTTCTTAGCAAGAGAGTATAAAGCAAAGAACCCACGCTGCACTTGAGACTCTGCCACCGACCAGGAGTGTGACCCTGTGCCCACAGACCTCTGTTCCTCCCCTGTTTGAACCTCAGTTTCCTCATCTGTAACACGAAGGGCCATGAGCCCAGTAGGCTACAAATGGAGAAGAACAGTGCCTTCTCCTTGAGGGGAAGTGCCTTGGCTCCAGACAGCGACCACTCTTCTCTGTTTCTTAATCCTCAGGGCTCGTCAAGAGTCACTCCTGTCCTGGCCTACCTCCAGTTTTGCTCTTCTGTTGTTCTGTCCACCACAGAATAGGGAACTGACCCCCTCCTGAGTGGAACCTAAGAGTTGGAGATTCAAGAGTCTCAAAAAATGAACGAGGGGATCAACACTCCTGGAGAAGCTCTGAAAGGTCACCGGCCCCCAGACGTTTTTCTGTAATTGTGGTAAAGACAAATAACATACAATTTGCCAACTTAAACATTGCTAAGTGTACGGCCCAGTGGCATTAAGTACATTCACGGCGGTCTGCAACCAACCTCCAAGATGCTTTTCATCTTGCGAAACTGAAACTCTACACCCATGAAATAGCAACTCCCACTGCCCTCCCCCCTAACCCTTGGAAAGCACCATTTTATTTTCTGTTATCTATGAACCGGGCTGCTCCAGGTACCTTGTCTAAGTGGAATTATACAGTACTGGTCTTGGTGTGACTGGCTTACTTCACTTCGCATGACATCCTTCAGTTCCTCTACTTTGTTGACCATGTCTTTTTTTTTTTTTTTTTTTTTTTTATTTCTAGGAGAGAGAGAGACAGCGTGAGCAGGGGAGGTTCAGAGAGAGAGGGAGTCACAGACTGAAACAGGCTCCAGGCTCTGAGCTGGCAGTCAGCACAGAGCCCGACGTGGGGCTCAAACCCACGAACCGCGAGATCATGCCCTAAGCAAAAGTCAGACGCTTAACCAACTAAGCCACCCAGGCGCCCCTGTTGACCATGTCTTAATGTCCTTCCACGTTAAGGCTGAATAATATTCCACTGTGTGGACATGCCACGTTGTGTTTATCTGCCTTCCATCTTTTGGCTAGTGTGAATAATACTACTGTGCACGTGGGTGTGCAATTATCTCTTCGAGACCCTGCTTTCAATTCTTTGGGGGTCTATACTGGGCGATTTTTAAATCATTAATTATACTTAAAAGAGAAAAAGAGCCTCCGTGCCCCTTGCCCTCCACCTAGGGCACTTGTTTAAAAATAAG